AGGAGCTGGATTATATGAAGAGGAACATGGAATCAGAGTTGGAGGAAGACAAATTAACAACCTGAAATACATAGATGACACAACTTTGCCTGAAGGAAGCAAAGAGGATGAAGATCAAAGACCACAGCCTTTGAATTACACACCTCAATATAAAGAAAACAAAAATCCTCACAACTGGACAATATATAATACAATAAATAGAGAAAAGATTGAAGTTGTCAAAGACTTCATTTTGCTTGGACCCACAACCAACACTCATGGAAGCAGCAGTCAAGCAATCAAACAACTTATTACATTAGGCAAATCTGCTGCACAAGATCTCTTGAAAGTCTTACAGAGCAAAGATTATCAGTATGGTGTGCCTGCCTAACCCAAGTCATGGTATTTTCAGTGGCCTCATATGCATTTGAAAGTTGGAAAATGAATAAGGAAGACCAGAGAAGAGCTGATGCATCTGAGTTATGGTGTTGGAAATGAGTATTACAAGTACCAGGAATTATCAAGAGAATAAGCAAATCTGTGTTGGAAGGAAAACAGCCTGATTAATCCTTAGAAGCCAGGATGGCAGAACTCTTCGTGTCTCATACTTCAGACAAGCTACCAGGAGGGATCAGTCTCTGGAGAAGGACATCATGCTAGATAAAGTGAAGGGTCAGTGGAAAAGCAAAAGACCCCAACAAGATGGCCTGACAAAGTGGCAGCAGCAATGGATCAAGTGTAACAATCGTGAGAATGGTTCGGGAATGGTCATTGTTTCGTTCTGTTGGACACAGGGTCACTGTGAATCAGAACTGACTCAATGGCACTAATAACAACAAAATATTAATAATCATAGCATTAACAGGAACAACATAAAATCAAGCTTCAGAACTATGCAATAGCTTCCATCTGGTACAATGAAATTACCTGTTGTACTAGACTGACTGAGTTATCAGAAACTTTTTAAAGATACATCAATACTCTTAAAAATCAGTTGTTGTTGTTGTGAAGTGCCATTGAGTTGGCTCTGACCCACAGTAACCCTGTATAGGATTTCCAAGAAGCAGCTGGTGAGCCTGAACTGCCAACACTACAGTTCAAATGATTTTGCACTCTGGCATATTAACCCACAGCACCACACCCAGACTCTAAAAATCAGTAGGATCTATTTAAACGGTTGCTTTTGACACAGCATTCCCAAAGTCAATAAACAAAGAAACATACAAAAAGCCCACTGCCATCAAGCCAATTCTAGCTCATAGCAACCCTGTATAAGGTTTCAAGGCTCTTTTTTAAGTCTCTCCAGGAACAGAAAGCCTCATTTTCTCCCTCAGAGCAGCTAGTGGGTTTGAATTGCCAACCTTATGATTAGTTGTTATTGTTGTGCCATCGAGTTGGTTCCGACCCATCGTGACCCTGTATAGGGTTTCTGAGGGAGCGGATGGTGACCTTGAACCAGAACATTAACCCACAGTGCCACACAGTACTTATAACTACCATGCCACCAGGGCTCCTTTAAGTCAATAAGCCTTTACCAAAATACTCTCCTGGCTACTCTAGTGGCCGAAATACCTCAGAAATGTGTTCCGATTCTTCTGAAAAGCCCTTTCTATAAAGTGCGGCAAAATCTTTAAGGATGACCTAAGCAGCTTCAGTTCTGCCGTGTATTTAAAATGTATACTATAAACAAATGCCCCTGAAACTGGTGCCTAGAGTTCATCTTTAAATCTTAAACCTAAAGTCTTCTTAAAAGCAAACAATAGTCTACCTAGTAAAGAATGCCCGCCTTGAGCGTCACACTGTTTGAAGGACTATCTCTATAGGGCAGTGGAAGAAGGATGAGGCTTTCTGTGTCCACAAAGATTTAAATCCTTGGAGACCCTATACATGGCCACTGTAAGTCAGAACCAATGACAGCACTTAACAAGAACAGCACATGGGATCAAGGAGCCACAGTAGTGCAGTGATCAGGTGTGTGGCTGCTAACCAAAGGCTGGCGGTTCAAACCCATGGAAGCAACATGGCAGTCTGTCTCTGTAAAGATCCCAGCCTTGGAAGCCCTAAAGCGCAGTTCTACTATACTATAGGGTTCTATGAGTCAGAACCCACTCAGAGAAGGGGTTTGGTTATACACAACCAAACTGATGACAGCAAATTTTCTAACTTCAGTCCTAGTGTAGTGCTGTAGAGTAAGCACTGGACTGCTAACCATAAGCAAACTGCAGGGATTGTGGTTCAAAGCCATCAGTCACTCCTTGGAAACCCTACACAGGTTCGCTATGAGTCAGACTAACTCACAGCACTTAACAACAACAACAATTTTTTTTTTTAACTAGAAAGAAGCTTTAGGGAACAGTGAATTTATGTCAAAGAAGGACGAACAACTCATAAAATGAGGGTGAGAACAGTTGTACAACTCAAAGAATGTTACTGAATTATATATGTACAAACTGTTGAATCAATATATTCTCCACAATGGAAAATAACTTATTTTTAATAGTAAATATGACATTACTCC